TTTTTTTTTAACAGACACTTCGGAGTTCGAACTGTGATGGTATCTCCTCATCGTCGTCGTCCTCCTCCTCCATATCTCCTTGTCCTCCTCCTCCATCCCTCCTCGTCCATCTTTCATCCTCCATCTCTCCTCCTCCATCTCTCCATCTCCCCTCCACCTCTCATCCGCCTTGTCACAGCCTCGTCATTTTTTTTTTTTTAACAGACACTTCGGAGTTCGAACTGTGATGGTATCTCCTCATCGTCGTCGTCCTCCTCCTCCATATCTCCTTGTCCTCCTCCTCCATCCCTCCTCGTCCATCTTTCATCCTCCATCTCTCCTCCTCCATCTCTCCATCTCCCCTCCACCTCTCATCCGCCTTGTCACAGCCTCGTCATTTTTTTTTTTTTAACAGACACTTCGGAGTTCGAACTGTGATGGTATCTCCTCATCGTCGTCGTCCTCCTCCTCCATATCTCCTTGTCCTCCTCCTCCATCCCTCCTCGTCCATCTTTCCACCTCCATCTCTCCATCTCCTCCTCCACTTCTCATCCTCCTCATCACGGTTTCATCACTTTTTTCTTTGTTTTTACTGGGAACTTCTAAGTTCGAACTGTGATGGCATTTCGTCCTCCTCATCACGTCGTCGCCGTCCTTGTCCTCCATTTCTCCTCCTCCTCACCTCCTCCTTCTCATCCTCCTTCTCCATCTCCTCATCTTCCTCCTCCATCTCATCTTCTCCTCGTCAAGTGACTGGTCACTTTGTTTCTTTTTTTTAATGAAACTCTGAAAATCGAACTCCGATTGTATTTCCTCCTCCTTGTCACGTTGTCACCGTCACTTCTTTTTCCATGGACATTTGGAAAAGCAATTGTTTCCGTTTCTGATAGGCAATTAATCGCTTTTTTCCCCGTTTTGCAAAAGCAGTGAAGTGCGATTTTTGTGGGGTTTTTTTTGGGGGGGGGGGGCTATGAGGGGTTGGAATAAGGCTGATTTCATGGGGTTTCATGGGGAGAGGAAAGGGGGTGGGGGATGTGCATTTCGGAGTGGACGCAGGACACGGCTGAGTTAGTGACTTCTCTTCTGCGGTTTTGTGTGCAGATCACGATGACGAGCCACGTGTATAGTTCCACTTTGATAAAGCGGCATGGCCATGAAGATGGGCTCCGTGAAGGCCGGGTTAAGGCAGGTGCTGATCCATGTGGCAAGGGCGACTGACGGCGGCAGCAGTCTTCCTAGTGTGTCGAGTGTGGGTAGGGATAGAGGAGAGGTGATTGCTGCACCCACCTCGCAGTGATTATGAAAAACAAAAAAAAAAAAACTTCCGGACGGGATATGGCCACACCCGACGGCGCGCGGCCCCGTGCGGTCCTGTACGGTACGGGTACGGGCTTGTACGGAGGTTGGGAAGGTCCCGGACCGGACCCCGTACGGCGCACCGGACGGTGCGGCGCGCTGTGCGGTTCCAAGTATGGTTGCAACCCATGCCAAGCCAACTATCCAACTGGTAGGGACCAGGGCAGAGGCAGTCCCTGCACGACTGGAGGCCCAGACCCCAGCCAGCAGCAGATAAAAGATGGAAGGCCAGGGCAGACAATAGCGCTGGCAGACTGACCAGCGGCAAGGGGCAAGGAAGGTGGTCATGGGAAGTGGCGCTACCAATATAGCAGTGCACTTGCTTTACATGCACACGCCATAGCAGGAAGGGAAGCGCGGCGCAGTGAGGAGAGGGGAGGCCAGGAGGAAAGGGAGGTCCTCTGGATGAGGAGGAAGGCTGTGGAGGCGGATACTTATTTTGGGTCTGGCAGGAGAGCAATTATGTGATCAGACTATCTGGAGAGACGAGAGAGAGGGAGAGTGTGAGAACTATTAGGCTAGTTTTGATAGGCTAGACTACGGAAATAGAGTAGGCTGTCACATCATAGCTCAGGGCTACCACCCTGTCTTTGTACTCTATTATACGGAGGCAAGCATCAGGCTCCCATTATCAGGAGACTTCAGTGGTCAGTGCGTTGTTAGTTTTGCCTGCTATCTGCCTTGTTAAATCTTACTCGTACACGGTCTTCAATCAGCTCTTGCTGCTCACAATCTTTATTCTCCTCACATGCTGGTTCCTTGGATTTTGGTATCATAGCAGTTCCTGTGACCATCGCTATCCAGGCTGGTGAGCTCGGATGCATGGCACTGGCCTCAGTTCACTGGTTGTGTGTTGACTCCATGCCAGCTTGTAACCTCTTCCACCAGGTAGAGGGTGGATGGGAGGAAGATTGTTGGATTATGATGGGAGGAAGATCGTTGGATTATGCGGCAATGCTGGAGGCAGTACTGTATTTTCAGCGGTTACTCTGCGTCAGCAGTCATCCAATAGCAATACCATCAACAGCTGGCTTGATATTATGTGGCTGAGGCAGCATCAAGTAAGTATGTCTAACCTTATCTACCTGCCCCATTATCTTCATGCCGTGAGGAAGAGCATTCACTTCACTGTTGTCCAATTTGTGACGTGTGAAGGCGCACAGACCTTAAAAGCCGTTCCTCTTTTGGCGCATCTTCTAGGATGTGCAGGAAATGCCCCATGGATGAGACGAGGCACATGATGTGATTAGTTCACACATCCATGTGCATATCACACTGCTTCGGCGGTGCAGCAGCAAGCATCTTTTGGGTGCCCCATTGTCCTGTTGCAACGCTAATTCATTCTTGATTAGTCGTCCTCCAAGTGTAAATAATTCTTGACGGATCATCGACCAGCAATCACGGATGCGATTATAAATAATTCCTCATCTTACTCGTTGCTTTAGGGGTAATGGACTTTCAATTCAGGGGTGGTAGTATGGGGTCTGTTGTAGGAGAAAAACTCACGCCTCTAATTGAATACGCAACTCACTATTCGGCCACATGCACTCGGGTGGGCCCATTTCCAATAAACCACCACGCTTGGCACCCAGTGTCAGTCCTAGGTTAGGGGTGTGGTAAAGAGTGAAGCCCAGGGAGGGTAGGATTCGGCCACATGCACTCGGGTGGGCCCATTTCCAATAAACCACCAAGCTTGGCACCCAGTGTCAGTCCTAGGTTAAGGGTGTGGCAAAGAGTGAAGCCCGGGGAGAGTAGGAATCAGCTGTATACCCGCTAGTAGAAAGTATTCATTTCTGCTTGTCATACTTTCTATTTTTGGTGATTACAGGTACTATATGGCAGTTGACAGGTTTGAGAACACTTGGTTAGTCCTAAAGTCTGAGATTAGAGTCCGAACAATATTCCATCCTGATTGAAGGCCCAAGTCCTGGCCCTGTGCATCAGGACGAATAAACTGTCTGCCCGGGTTCCATGCCTACTGCAGAAGCTGCAGCAACCCAAGGACTGGGCCAGGCACAAAAGACGACCGCCTGGTCCCAGTCCAGCCTAGGAGGAAACTGAACCTGACCTGACGCGGCCTAACGAAATCCAGCGGTTCGAACAGGCACCGACCTGTTCGGACGAAAGAAAGTCCGAAACAACACATCTGGAACAGACAAAAATGGAACAAAAAAAATTAAACTTAGCAAAAAAAAGAGAGAGAAATAATAATGCTCAATAAAAGAAAGGCAGAGGGTGCAAAAATATGGCCGTGGTCCAAACTAGTGGCCGTGACCCACCAGGTCGTGCACTCAGGGGGGGCTGTGCGGCCTGAGGGCCTGCAAATGAACCTACGCGCCTAGGGGGCTGGTGTATAGGAGCTTTCCAGGATGCGACACTGATGCTGATGTAGCACTGCTGACATGGCACTGTCAGTGACTTGCCATGGATGGCATGGCACTGCTGCTGATGCCGCACAACTTGTAGCCGACATGCCGCAGATGTGGCGCTGCTGCTGATATGGCCTGCCTAACAAGGTACTGCTGCTGACATGGCATTGCTGACGTGGCACTTACCCCGTCGTCCGGTTTAGAACATGGAGGACACGTCCTTCGGGACATCCGTTAAAATTGGAACGATACAGAGAAGATTAGCATGGCCCCTGCGCAAGGATGACACGCATAAATCGAGAAATGGCCCAAAAAAAAAAAAAAGGCAATCAGTCTGACTTTCTGTCTTTCTGTGTTCTTTTTAATCCTGTGGATACTGCGTTGACCATGCAGGGAAGAATTGACTTCTACAATTTCCTAAAAC